TACTTTAACTTTCTAAATTACCTGTCCAAAACAGATAGAACACGTGTCCGCCCTATGACCCGGTCTGGATCTTACATGGGGGAAGGATTCCAGCCCAAGTCCTGCAAGCTTCTTTCCCAAGAGCCTCTCAGACACAGGGCCCTGAGCTAAACTGTCCCGACAACCTGAAACCTGCCGCACCTGGTGTCTTTAAGGCTCTGCAATCTTTCAGTTAGACAACCAGGTAACGTGCATGCGTGGAGAGTAAAATGCAAGTGCTCAATCACCTGAATGGAGAATGCCACTGCACCTGAAGAGGCAGGAACACGCGTTAGGCAAGCGAGCAGGATGGTGCATGTACAGCCAGTCCGTTGCCCAGAACGCAAACACAAGCACCCTCATGTGAAAGAGGATTACGTGTGTGTTTGGTTACCTAAGGGCCACCTCACCTGGTCCTACAGGGTCAGAGGCTCTGGGTTCACACATACTAGCATGGTTGGGTTTAGAGAATATTGTATGAACAAAATTTCTTTTCTTAACTTCTTATAAGTCTAATGAGTTCCCCTCTTTAAGAAAATCTAACTAGCAACACAAAAAACAAATCTTTAGAGACTACCACAGGTAGAGTAATCCTGATGTCTTAGGAATTTTTTATGGTATTCCTCACACACTTGTCACTGTTAGAGAAGGCTTTCACAATAAGAAGGACAATGGGTCACCTCCTATATAACAATACCGAGAGAGAGAGAGAGAGAGAATATTGACTGTAGTCAGAATCTATACAAACCTCATGCAGCTTCAGAGAAGCAAAGAATTTAGCATTTTCTGTAATGTTCTTTAGTCTTTTCCTTTCGTAGGCTGATAACTCCGAAGATCCATCCTACACAAAGAGGAGTCGATTACCATACTATTAGGTAGCATGCTTGAGACGTCCCAAAAGTCTGAGAAGTGAGTTTCTAAATCATGCGTGTCTAAGTTATTTAGAAGTGGTTCAATATATTCCTAATCAACAACAACAAAGAAAACTAACTGGAGTAACCCGCACATCACTACCAAAATCTCTGTCTATGTAGGTACTAGCTTGCGTTATAGCAGTTAGTACTAGCATAAATTATCAAGAAAGGGCTACTTCATCAAATGTTGCTAGAGCTAAAAGTTATTTAATAAAGTGAAGCTATTCAATAAGCAACTGAAAACGTCAGCGATGAGGCCCATATGGTACATAAACGGAATACAGTCTTAGACCATTTTTGTATTATATCGGTGATACGGTGCATTAGACAACCTGAAAAGATGATTTTACATGAACGAACATCGACAAAACGTTCAGCTCCTACGACTGCATCCATCCATAAAGAACCCTGGAAGATGGCTATCAGCAGGACAACACATCTGTGTTTCTGCTACTAGGATTTTATACTCTCTGACTGATAGCAAGAGCATTTTCTCATCCTTTAGACGTTCTGGAAGGGTAAAACAAAGCCCAACAGTCCCTGTCAGCGTACTTAAAAAGATGACGTAAAGAGGAAAGACACCTTCCAACTCTACTTTTACGAGCACAAAAGACACGTGTCTCGAGAAGAGCGGGATAACTATTTCTTCCGCCACAGCTCAAGAGCCAACAGCCGGTTCGCACGCCGGCTGCTG